AAAAATTCTAATAGTTTGTAAACTTCGGATGATGTTGTGTGTGTGTGTGACTGAATGTTTTTTTCGCGGAATGATTCTTTGCACTTATTTTATAAAGTGACAACAGTTGCAGTTTTTTTTCTTTTCTTTTTCAACTACGCATTTTATTGCGAAAGAATGTGTAAAGATTGAGAAAAAAAGCCATTCAAGGTATACAATGCAACAAGAAATGCTATTGAAAAGAAAGAGCAAGAGAATTCATATGAAATGAATTCGACTGGATGTGGGTGTCTGTGTGGATGTGAATAATGAACAAAGCAACACCCCGACCCACACCCAATACCAAAGAAGTGAAGAGAAAAGCAGAATAGGTTCGCTTTTTCCTGCTTCAGAAGCTTCTGTAAGGTTTCAAGAGCATATAGTGATCTGAAGCTTTCGGTGTCCTTGTCAACAAATACGTTTTTCGGCGATGATCATAACAATTTTTTCTTTCTCTCTTTCATATATCAGCTTCCATATTTCACAAACACTTGACTAATCATTTCAACTCAGACCGTAATAAAAAGGTTTTACAAGCAAAATACTCATTATTTTCATTCCTTCTCTACACAATATACATGCTAATGACTTTATAATATTAAAACAATCATCATAAATAAGCAACTCTTTTATTTACCATTCTCAGTAATTGCATTTCATATATACTATATAAATCACATCTTTTCGTTAAAATCTATCATTAAAGATAACGCATGTCTCATGTGTGCACTAGAGCGTACTTAATTGTATTACATAGTCTAAAAGGAATCGGACAGTAGGAATGAATGTTGGCAGATCGTAACGTAAGTTTTACAGGCTTTTCTGTCTTTTAGAAATTACAAAACAATAAATAACATAGAAATACTTATCATCCGCATATTTCCGTCATTCATTATGTTTGAGAAAGGTTGTATGAATCATATAAAAATAATTATCTCTTCTTTTATTAATTGAAATGAGAATATATAAAATAAAAAAACTAACATTTCGAACGTAAAACGTTCTTTTATACAGAACGAAATTTAGATTTAAGATAAAGAATACATAAATTCAATGTTGTTATTATTCTTTGCTCTATTCATTTCTTTCTTAGAATTCCTTTTTTCTACTGGTACGCACCAAAGAAAGAAATGAATAGAACGAAGAAAAAGAAAAACATTGAATTTTTCTATTTTGAATTATAAATTTAAATTTCTTACTGTGGAGAAGAACAACTTACGTGCGAAACGTCTATTTTTCACATTATATATATATATATTTATTTCAACAAATAACAGAAGAGATAAGGGCGTGGGTGTGGATGTAACATAGAGATAACACCCACACATACTCTTAAGTTGGCGATAGTAGATCACGTTGATTTCCAAGCGATTTATTTTCTAGTAACATTGAAGAGAACGAATCAAAAAATGCTTTACATATCCGTATACAATAGAAATTTGCAAAAGAACGCGTATCGCATTGCTGAACGTCTCGTTTTTGTATTTTGTTCATCCATTGTATGCATCGTTTACAGTTGTTTGTCTTGACACATGTGTGCAATTATTGGTAAAAATTCGTTCTCTTCTTCTCAATTAGTTGCTGAAACGTTATTAAGTCTTTTCCTGAAGTTAATTAAAGTTCATCAATCACCGAGTGTGAACAAAATATAAGTTTAAAAAAAATTAAAAGCTTCGAACAAGATTTTTATATTCTTCTCCTTTTGTTTCTGCATCTACAATACTCGATATCATTTGTTTTCGTATCCGCATCTATACCCACCCACGCCTCACCCACTGTTTTTGATATTCTCTTTGTGGTTAAATTGTAATCAAAATAATTTAAATTCAACATTTTTAACAAGAATAAATGAGAAGTATAGACAACTTCTACTGGATAATTACTGGTTCTGGACCACTCACGGAGATAGAAAATGGTCCTGTCACATTTGGTGAGTAAGTAGTGACCACTAAATTATATAAAGAGGAAGAAAGAAGACCTTGCATAAGAAACTGCCCACGACCATCACTGTCATCATTTTGCATAAGTAAATTCACCGTTGGAAGAGTTGCGTTGAATGGGTCTCGATATAAATATCCATATAAATCAATGAAACTGTTACTTCTAATAACATAATAACCATAGGTATTAACGGATATTTTGCGTACAATATAGTAGTGATTATTTGATGGTATTGGTGAACCTGTCGGTGCCGCATATGTTGAACTCATTGTTGTTAACGCAGCTGAAAAATTTGTGGATGCGTTCAAGATTATGTTGGGTGGAATTGATGCTAATCAAATATGTAAAAGAAAAATGAAATAGATTATTTCAATATTTTGTCTTGGTCTAATGACTATGAGTATGAGTGAGATGAAGAAAGAGATTCATCTTTATCCTTTTTAATAAAGTATTCATTCTATAGGTTTTCTTTCGATAGTTCTCTGAATCTATTAAAACTACTTACTTGAATACGGATATCCATTTCCAGTAGTCGTTGAGGAAGCTTTTAGTATCGATACAGTAAGTCCGAGAATAATTGCCAAAAAAACCACTCCACAGCAGCTAAATATGCAAATACTACACTTACTACACTTGGTATTGACAGGTGCGGTTGCTGTTGCATCAGTCGTTCCTTGAGGATGTATACGATTAGCATTTCGTGAACCAGTTCGTAGTGGTGGTAAAGTGACTGTGCTAGGTTGCGCATTATATGAAACGACTGAATTTCGATGACGCGCCGCCAGTTGTCTCAAGTGATCATCTGGTTGTAATTCACTCAGTTGCAATGGTTCCCTAGTAAATGGACTAGTACCATGTTCATTAATCCATTTTGTATTTGCTTCTCGTTCATAGACACGTCCATCGTTTGCAATTACCGGATCACGAAACAATTCCATAGTAATGGGACAAATAAGATCGTCAATATCGACATTCTGCTCACTGTTTGTTCTTGCCATGACGAATGAATGTGAAAAAAGAGCGGAACTGAGTTATTTACTTTTATGCGCGAATGATGGCAACTATTCTGTTTGCCAAAGAAATGTACGTCATCACTTGACGATGTTAAAAGAGTAAGAGCACAAACGTCGGTTTTTTCCAACTTAAACGGAGTGAAATAACGGTATGAGTGTGGGTGAAACAGAAATACCGGCTCCGCATCCACACTCAGTTATTTAACGTTTTTTGTTCGTATTGTTAGCATATCGCATGAATAGAGAATAAAAGAAAAACTTAGGTGGATCACTTTCGTATCTGAACAGATCTTTTGATTTGTTTTTTTAATCAAATTCTGCTAGTTCGAAAGAAAAAATACAGATATTCTTGAAGGTGTGGGTGGGATACGATACAAATATGATACTCACGCTCACACCTTTACACATCAATCTCACCGTCACCCACCTTCAAGATTTAAAAGAAAAATTATATCTATAAAGAAAATAATTTCCAAACGAGAATCATTTTTAATTAAAGAACAAATGTGTTTGTGAAGGAAAACAGTTAACTAAAATGCAACAATCTTGGTCAATAAAAGGTAACACGAGTTACGATAAGAATAAACAAAAATAAGAGAAAAAACGGGTATGGACCTGGGTGTAGGTATCAATATTTATTTTATCCCGCATAAACTTCTGTGCTCATCTACACCGATTTTATCGTGATTGTAAAATCACACTGCTGTCTGATTATTGTTGATAATTGATATAGGACCATCAAAAAAACGAAGATTATTTTGTAGTGTACCATAATACATCTGTTGATCCTGTTGTCCTTTGCAACGATATCTGCAGTAGACAACTGCACCATAAAATAATAAAAGAAAACCACAAAAACAGATAATGGAATACGTCGCTATCGCATAATAAGTCAGACCAGGTAGGCACTGTAAATACTTTTTCGATTCAATGATCCACGACAAGCCATAGGCAATGGTCATGACACCCGTGCACATGGCTAAGGCGACTGTCATTTGATACATCTTAGAAAATATGAACCGATCATCTTGGGGACAACATTTTATTTTAAAAACCACCTAGAAAGTTCGATAGAAATAATATAACTAATGCAATTTCTAAATTTATATAGATTGCTAATTGAATACAGTACTAAACAAACTAATTTGCATCGATTAAAAAACGTTTAGACTATAGTTTTGCACTTTTACAAAGTTGTTGATTTATGAGGTGACATATTAAACTATTCTCTTGAAATGAAGATTTGAACTTAGAATAAATTTCTTTGAATGCTTCTACTCTCGCATATGCAACAAAATACTATGAACAGTTTTTTTGTTCGATACTCAATAAGTATGAAACGAAAATGTAACTCATCACTGATGAAAGTTATCGAGCATACGAAAGAGAAAACTTACAAATAAAATGATAAGAAAATTAAAAGCCAAACCAAGAGATCCAGAGATAATCAACCAAGTCTGTAGGTTTGTACTGCACCCTTGATCTGATGAAGAAAAGTATCGTCCAGTTATAACACATGCTAACGAGTTCAAACAGATACTTGTACACACTATTATAATTATAAGTGCACGAATAACATTGCTCAAGGATGCAGACACACCAGGCACAATATTTTTTACACCATTGTTTTTGGTGAGATCAATATTTAACAGTCGTAGAAAAAAACATTCTGCATAAATGACCGAAGCAACATCACAAGCGCCCTTCGCACATTCCTAGAAAAACAAGGAATATGTATAGAACTCACATTCAATCAAGTTTAACTGCTTTTTAGGAAAACTGGAATGAGCGAATCCATTAGAAATAAATTGTATAGGATAGTAGAACAGATCTCATACATTCTCGTAGTCGAAATGATAAAGATAATACTAACTCTTTCTGAAAAGTTTTATCGAGAACTGGTATTATATTGTATATCTCTAATTCTTTTCATTTGTAAGATTAATCAGATAGAAAGAGAATAAACTTTAGATTAGAAGTAATGCAATTGACCAATGAATGTGGTAAAGATCGAAATAAAACTTACATCTTTCTCTTGTCTGATAAAATCTGGTATGCACATTTCAAAGTAACAACAAACTGACTGTAGTCTTCACCAAATAGTTTACTTTTTATAATTGTCTTATACAAGCAATCATAGAAACATTCACTTCCCTTTTTTTTTTCAAAACACACATTTCAATTATATGTCGCAGACACTTTTTCTTTTGCGTTCTTCGTCACATTTAATGGCAAAATATTTCAGTTAAATTTGATGCACTTTTGCAATCCAATAAAAATAACAAAGACTTCATCTTGTGTCAGTTCCCTTTACGCTCCATTCTCTATTTTTTTGAATTTTATTTATTGATTCTTTTAACATTTAGTTGGAAAGTATTCGTATTGTAAAGATCAGAAGTAGAAGTAATTTTTCGACGGCTTTTACACAGCTAAATGACGTCCATATTCCCCCTTCAATCTGTATCGAATGCTGACTTATTTTACGAAGCCTGTCATGCTGATAATATAGAGCTAGTTCGTCAATTGTTGCCTGAATTGTCTGATGAAGAATTCAATCGACAATATATGTATGGCAATACAGTTCTTCATATTGCATGTGAAAGAAATAATTATGATCTTGTTCAACTTCTTTTACAATCTGATTTTGGACAGAATTCTTATTCACGCTCAATATCAAACTATTTGGGACAAACTCCGTGCCAATGTACGCGTTCTCCAAATATTCGCTCGCTCTTTGTTACATCACCATCGATGATGAGTCATTCTATCGATATCAATAATATTTTAACGTTATATCCAAATAATCAATTTCCTAATCCAACATCTGTTTCGTTGAATGATACTGAATTCGAGTGGGTTCGTCTGTATGACAATGCAACAGACGCGTTGGATGCTCGATTTTTGATGAGTATTACTCGTTCTTCTTGGACGGTCAAAAAATTGCTACGATTTCTGATGGAAAAACAAGCCATTGATATAGTTGCACCTCTTATCAAACGGCATATTACAGATGAAAACAAATACGAGGAAGCTATGAAGACCTTCCAAGAGTACACTAATACTAAAAACCCCGAACATCTGCTTAAAATTTATACTATGGACACCCCTCTTTACAACGCTCTTCAGAAGGAGAATAATGCTTTTACAACATTACTCTACATGCGTCTAGATGGATTGAAACACATGAATTTTCCTAAGGGTGACCTCTATCGTGGCCTAACAAAAGAGAATCCTGATGAATATCAAAAGATTCTACAAATTTATCAAAAAGCCAAGCAGAGTAAGAGCTATATTATTGAAACCTGTGCACTGCAGTCAGCTTCGTTATGCAGAGAAGTAGCTGAATCGTTCGCTGATAATATCAATGCAAGCAGTTACGCTATTTTTTTCCATTTCAAGTTTCCAAATGAATGTCCCACAGCGATTAATCTTCGTGAGATTTCGAAATTCAATGACGAAGACGAAATACTACTATTACCATTTACATTATTTAAGATAATAGACATCAAGGAGGATTCACCTAAATACCATATTATATCACTTGAAAATGTACCAGTTCCTCCAGCTACATTCAATATTATACGGAGACATATTCAAATCTGATTACATCATCACGAACTCGTTTGATTTCGCTTGTTTTTTCTAAGATTGCCATTTCTTGCATAATATATTTGTAATAACCTACAAAGAGTTTATGATACTCATGAATTGCAGCATAACTGAGGCTTTTTTATAATCAATTGAGCGTGCAGGTGTGGGTGTGTGATGAATATAATACTCATAGTCACACCCATTCTAGAGTTGGTGATAGTAGATCACATTGGTTTCTAAGCGATTTATTTCCTAATAATATTGAAGAAAACAAATCAAAAAATGCTTCACATATCCGTTTACAATAGAAGTTTGCAAAAGAACGCGTATCGCATTGCTGAACGTCTCGTTTTTGTATTTTGTTCATCTATTGTATGCATCGTTTACACTTGTCTGTGATGCCTGAAGTTAATTAAAGTTCATCACTCACCGAGTGTGAACAAAATATAAGTTAAAAAAAATCAAAAGCTTCTGACAAGATTTTAATATATTTCTTCTTTTTTTTATGCATTTACAACATTCGATATCATTTGTTTTCGCATCCGCACCTATACCCACCCACGCCTCACTCACTTTTTAACAAGAATAAATGAGAAGTATAGACACTTTCTACTGGATAATTACTGGTCCAGGACCGCCGATGGAGATAGAAAATGGTCCTGTCACATTTGGTGAGTAAGTAGTGACCACTAAATTATATAAAGAGGAAGACAGAAGACCTTGTATAAGAAACTCTCCACGACCACCACTGTCATCATTTTGCATAAGTAAATTCACCGTTGGAAGAGTTGCGTTGAATGCATCTCGATATAAATAACCATATAAATCAATGAAACTGTTACTTCTAATAACATAATAACCATAGGTATTAACGGATATTTTGCGTACAATATAATAGTGATTATTTGACGGTATTGGTGAACCTGTCGGTGCCGCATATGTTGAACTCATTGTTGATAACACGCCTGAAAAATTTGTTGATGCGTTCAAGATTATGTTGGGTGGAATTGATGCTAATCAAATATGTAAAAGAAAAATGAAATAGATTATTTCAATATTTTGTCTTGGTCTAATGACTATGAGTATGAGTGAGATGAAGAAAGAGATTCATCTTTATCCTTTTTAATAAAGTATTCATTCTATATGTTTTCTTTCAATAGGTCTGTATCTATTAAAACTACTTACTTGAATAGGAATATCCATTTCCAGTAGCCTTTGAGGAACCTGATTGTACCAATACAATTATTATTGTAAGAGTAATTCCCAAAACAATCACGCCACAGCTGCTAAATATGCAAATATGAGATGCATTATACTTGGGATATACAAGTTCCGTTTGTCTTGCATCAGTTCGTAGTAGTGGGAAAGTGACTGTGCTATGTTGCGCATCAGATGAAACAGCTAAATTTCGAGGACGCGCTGCTGATTGTCTCAAGTAATCATCTGGTTGTAATTCACTTAGTTGTAATGGTTGCCTAGTAAATGGACTAGTACCATGTTCATTAATCCATTTTGTAATTGCTGCTCGTTCATAGACACGTCCATCATTTGCAATTACCGGATCACGAAACAATTCCATGGTAATGGGACAAATAAGATCGTCAATATCGACATTCTGCTCACTGTTTGTTCTTGCCATGATGAATGAATGTGAAAAAGAACGAAACTGATTTATTTACTTTTTTATGCGAATGATGGCAACTGTTCTGTTTGCCAAAGAAATGTGCGTCATTACTTGACGATGCTAAAAGAATAAGAGAATACAAATCGATTTTTTCCAACTTAAACGGAGTGAAATGATGGTATGAGTGTGGGTGAAACAGAAATACCGGTTCCGCATCCACACTCAGTTATCTGACGTTTTTTGTTCGCATTGTTAGCATATCGCATGAATAGAGAATAAAAGAAAAACTTAGGTTGATCACTTTCGTATCTGAACAGATCTTTTGTTATGTTCATCTGTTAAAACAAATCAAATAAAGAAGAATACTAGTGTGTGGATGTGAAGTATCGTTGAATACCACGTCCAATGACCGCAATGAAAACAATCTCGAAGAAGACGCGTGGTTTGTTCATATGTTTTTAAATATCGAAATGTAATTTGTTTGTAAAAAAGTAAAAATTCTTTGATTTTCGCTGAAAAAGCAGGTGAATCAAAAGGTTTAATAATTTGAACAACATGATGTATACATTGGAAAATAAATGCGAAGAAGAGATTTAATTGCATTAGTTTTTATAAGAAGAAAAATTTGTTATATAAAAAACAAATAAATGAAACAAAATTATTAGAAGAACTGCTGGTACACATAATTTTTGTCCATCATTAATACGGCCGTTGATATCTGTAAGATTGTGTTGAAAAAGAATTTGTTTTACTTCATTGTAAGCTTCAGGAGAATTACATCTCGTTCGATTACATTCAATATCCAATGAAGGAAGATTACCACCATCGAACACGTGTACTCGTGCAATACCAACTGGTTCACAGCCTCTTTTATTTACTTTGTTATTACTAGTATCGTATTCGACTTGACACATGCCGGAAGTACATTCTTTATTATCGTAACAGCGAAGTGCTGGATCAGAAGGTTGTCGATGTTCAAGAAGAACATTACTTAGTTGATTGGTCACACTATTGACATTGAATGTTCGATTGGAGAGATCAAGCACTTTCTTGTTGGCAAAGTCGATTGCACAATTATCATTATGAGAACAAGAATACATGGCTGTGTAAGACAAATAATTTTTCGGTAGAATATAAACTGATCGATAATAGCGACTTATGAATGTTGTTCCAAATTCTACAGCATATGTTCGATCGTGATAATAGAATCTGACGTAAACTTCACAATTATCCGCTTTTTGACGTTGTTGACAGGATGTAGGAATATTAAGAGGCATACCGGTATATCCAAAAGCTGTACAATTGAACAGACAGAGTGGTTTTCCATCTGCATAGACGAAAAAGACAGTGAAGAAATACAGTAGTGAGTGCATTTTTATGAGTGAAAATAAAACAGAAATAGTGCGTATTTATATCACATACGTACATACACCTTCCATTTCTTTTTTTTGTGCAGATATCAAATGACATAACATCGACGCACAAAGAGTAAATACTATGATTCACTCAAATAACGTAGAAAGAAGCATTACTCAAAGATCGTGATGCTGTAAAATGGTTTCCAGTATTATCTTCTGCATGAGAACTTGATTCGAATAAATATACTTTTCTAATGCGTCTTCTTTGTTTTAATTTCTTTTCTTTTAATATTAATATTTTGATGACAGTATTTTCATTGTCGATTATCGAGCAGATTATTCTTTCTCTTTTTACCTTCAGAGGATATCTAAATCAAAAGACAATATTTGTATAAAACACTTCATGTTATTTGATATCTACAGAATCTTACGCACATCAGTAGCTATATTTAATCTAATCTAAAAAAATACTCAATAAATGCCGTCAAAAACGCGAAAAGAATTCACAGTCAATAATAAATCCAAATTACATACAACACAAGGGAGAACAAACGTCTTGGTCTTGGCTTTATCGATGTTGAGAAAATAAAATATATCTATTTATCAGAATGTGCAAGTGATACACTTTAACGAGCATATGCTGTTCATCCAATATCATGTGTGCAAATTAAATATTTATCATTTAACTTAGATATCGAAAGAGAAGAAATTTGTCTCTTGAAAACCTCCAACGAATTGTTACACTCCAGTATGAGTGTGTTTTATAGCTACTATTTCACCTGTTCTTACTAATCATTTCTATTCTACGTATTATTCCTTAATCGGGTTTTACTTTGCCCTCTTCTTCCTTTCTTCTCGGTTCGTATGAACAAGAAATACTATAAAGCGTAACTCTAAGTTCGAATCTCTTGTAAGAATATCGATGTGGAAGTTTTATTTATTTCAATAGATCAAAACCCATTGGAATCAACAGAAATCTATTTTGCACAGTTAAATCCTGAGAATATCGTTCGACAAATTTCTCTCGATAAATAAAAATCCAATTTAATCTGATTTCTAGGTGAAAACTAATACTGATTCGTCTTCTAAAAGTGCAATTTTGAAGGTGGGTGTGTAGTTAAAGGTATAATATTTCTTCATTGTTCCTGTCCACAATCTCAAGATGTTTGAATTTCTCTTTTATTGCAACTTTATTCATATCATTAATTTTTATATAAAAAAAATATTCAACAGATGTCCTGTTTGATTAATACTATTGAGTATCCTGTTTATTTTGTGATTCAAGTATTTTTGTTAAGAAAAACAAACTTTTTTCCGTTCTTTTACTTCTTTCTGATATTTTCTAACATTGACGCATTTTGTTGTGATGGATATTTACACACTGAAGTAAAACATTATTACATTCTCTTCTTTCCATTTTTCTTTTACATTTTCAAATATAACATACAAACAGCATCAAAGTATTCAGCAGCACATGGCAACAACAACTAGTAAAGCTCATTGTAGTACATGTGGAAAAGAAAAAACTGCATATAAATGTGAAGGTTGTTCACAACATTTTTGTGCTAATCATTTGACAGAACATCAACAAACACTTAGAAAACAATTAGATGAAATAGAAGATAGACAAAATCTTTTTAAGGAAGCATTTAATCAAGAAAAAATGAATCCACAAAAGCATTTATTAATGCAACTAGTTAATAAATGGGAACAACAGTCAATTAAAACAATTCAGCAAACAGCAGAAGAAGCTAGACAATTGTTAATCCAACACACTACTGAATATATTAATCAAACGGAAGTTAAATTAACCAAATTCACTAAACAATTGAGACAAATTCGAGAAGAAAATAATATTAATGAAAACATTGTGAATCAGTTTAAACAAAAAATAAAAGAACTAGAAGTTGAACTTGCTAAATTGTCAAATATCTCAATTCAAGAAGATTCTTCATCATTTATTCCTAAAATATCTGTCGTTATTTCTTCAGGTAAAAATTTTTGTTTTCTTAAGATTATATTCGGAATTTTTCTTTTCTTTTGTAGCATCATTATCTATTTCAAATGTTTCTTCGGATGCAAAATGGTATTATTGTTGCTGGAGGAATTGGAGTTGGTAATGGATTAAATCAACTCTCTAATCCATATGGTATTTATGTCGATCATGATGATCAAACTATCTACGTGGCTGAGTATGCAAATCATCGTATTGTTGAATGGAAAAAAGGAGCGAAAAATGGTCAGGTCGTTGCTGGTGGAAATGGTCCTGGAAATCAAAATAATCAATTGAATCGACCAAGAAATGTCATTGTTGATAAAAAGAATGATTGTTTCATTATTTCTGATTATGGTAACAAACGCGTTGTACGTTGGCCTCATCGAAATGGTACAAGTGGAGAAACAATCATTTTAAATATTGCTTGTTGGGATTTAGTTATGGATAATGATGATTATCTTTATGTCTCTGACATAAGTAAACATAAAGTAACACGATGGAAAATAGGTGATAGACATGGAACATTAGTAGCAGGTGGAAATGGCAATGGTAATCGTCTTGATCAACTCAATCGTCCTTATTATATATTCGTCGATCAAGATCATTCAGTTTACGTATCAGATTGTGAGAATCATCGTGTGATGAAATGGTTGCAAGGTGCAAAAGAAGGCATTGTTGTTGCTGGGAGACAAGGTGAAGGAAATAGTTTGACACAATTGTCACGACCTTATGGAATAATCGTTGATCAATTAGGTACTATCTATGTGGCAAACTGTGGTAATCATCGAATAATGCGTTATCTAGATGGGACAACAAAAGGTAGCATTATTATTGGTGAGAATAATGGTCAGAGAGAACAAACAAGTCAGCTCAGTCATCCAGTAGATGTATCATTCGATCAACAGGGAAATCTTTATGTTGCTGATAATGACAATTATCGAATACAAAAATTTGAAATTGATTAAAATAGAAGTTAATGATTATAACTGAATGAACCGTTGATAAACTATATCATGTTTCTTTGAATTTTTTAGGTTTTTATCAATTAATAAATTCTTTCAAACACTGAAATTATGGTGTGGATGTGAGTATCGATGTGCAAAAGGAGAAAGCTGACACCCACACCCACCCTCATAGTATATTATAGTCGTTAATAGGGAAATTTTGAAAAAGAAAAAAACATGTTAGTGGAACATATAGCAAATGTACGATTGAATTAATAACGTGAGAATTTTTGTATTCGATGATTAAGTGCGTCTGCCACATACAAGTTAAGTTGATTATCAAGTTTCAAAGACCAAGGCGTATTGAGTGTAGTGGCACTACTACCACTTGTGCTTGTTACACTGGCAATAGTTGTGCCATTTAACTGTCCTTTATAAAAGAACTGAACACGGTGATTATTTCTATCAGCAACATACATATTACCCATAGGATCAAATACTGCTTGAGTAGGAGCATTGAAAGTTGTTGATGTCATTCCTGAAACTCCATTAATATCACCAGCAAGAAGTGTCCAGTTATTCGCGCCTAATACATATTGAACAATATTATTACCACCAAAATTGGCAATGATCAAACTATTTGTGAATGAATCAAAATGTAAGCCTACAGGATTATTTAATTGTATATTAGATGCACCTGCCCCATTACCACCCAATAATAATGTACTAGAATTAGCACCGGATGCATAAGAGACGACACGATGATTCATGGAATCCGATATATAAAGTGCACCTGATATTGGATTCAACACGATACCATATGGAGTATTTAACTGAGTACTGGAGTTTCCTGCAGAATCTAAGAAAAATGTTCGTATTATAAATGTGTAATAGAATATTTTTGTTAGTTTTCGTAATCAATCTCAATTAGAATAATACATATAGATATGATAATTTTCCCGGTAGACGGCATATCTCTTTATAGAAAAGCATAACTATTATTATTTTCATCTTACATGTCACGCCTGCAATTGTTGTTCCCGAAATACCACCACTAAGCCACAACTGAATTCGATGATTCGCTGAATCTGTTACAAGAAGATTTCCATTGGTGTCAAATATTACACGTGATGGATAATGTAATTGATATGAAGATGGACCGAGTGTTCCATCTCCAGCCACAGTCGTAATGTTGGTGGTACCGAATAAATATTTTTGAATTCGGTTATTATATCGATCAGCAATGTAGAGATTATTTGCGTAGTCCAATGTTACATCAAACGGTCTATTCAAATAATTGCTACCAGAACTTGCATTTCCACTTACTCCAGCGACAGTGACGCCTGTTGAGTTCCAACGAAGTATGGGCATGTTTGCTGTAAAACAAGATGTTTTTTTTGCAATAGTTTAAATTGTGAATGGAAATTAATCTTACTTGGTGTTATTACTTGTTTAGGTTTAATTAAGAGAACAAGTAGAATAATACCAATGATCAAGATAAGAAGTACAGTAATAAGTAAAGACATAATCATACATCGACGTGAACATCTTAGATTAAAAAGTCAGATTCATTTCGTTAGTTATAAGCTATTGATACAATACTAACTTTGTCTTTTTATTCTTTTTACATTTCCGATGATAATCTTGCGTCATACCTTTTTGATCTGATCGATCCTTTATACTCTTTTGTAATTAAAAAAAAAGTTTTAGAAAGAAAAAAAAAGGATACTCGTACCGTGCTATAATCAGTAGTTGCATTCTAAAGAAGATTTTATTATTACGTATTGTAAAAGACGTATTGTACATTACTTCGTGATGAGTTGTTCTAGAATGTTTTGAATGATGACTAGTGTTTGCAGTGTCATTAGTTCGTAATGAGGATCTTTTTGTTGAACTATCACTTCCAATGATATTTCCATTTGACTATAGTCGAAAAACAAAAACTGTCGAAATATACTAAGTTTTTGTGCAAAGATTTACTTGTAAACGAGAACGATGTTGGCGATTTATGTTGGTAACACTAACAAAATGTTCGGATGATTTATTTGTCGTAATAGATTTTTTTCTTTCTGTATCTGAGATCTATTTAGATACAAAAGAACGTTTTCATATAAGAGACAATTTCATTAAAATCAAACCGAATGTAAATTGTTCTTAGTCGGACGAATTTGCCGCGATGATCCTATGGTAATATGAATAGCAGTATTCGATCGTTTCTTTTTAATTGATGGATATATACGCTATTGAATTCAAAAGATTAATAGAATAAGAAGATTTAATACGAAATAGAACTCACGCTATTATCAAGTGATCGTTGATAACGTCGAACTCTGACAATACTTGCTTTTCTTTGTCGTATCATTTTACAATGCTACTTGTGCTTGCTTGACAATATTTATTTCAACAATACTATAATGGAATTTATTTTTGATTAAACAATCGAATCGATATGTACAGCTTCACTGATGTTGATTATAAATTATATTCCAAACCAAACAGAATCAGTTTTTAATATAAAAAATAGAGGTTTCGTGATTGTAAACATATTTTTTTGTTATTCAGCATAATAGCACATGCGTTGCATGAATATACAATAGTTGCTACGAACGAAGAAAAAAAAGAATAATTAGCTCAAAGTAAATATGAATGAAAAAAGTACTCAGTGAAAAACAAGTACTTTTTTCTGATCTGATGTAGAATACAATCACAAAATGTTTACTTATGATGTTTTGAATAAAGTCAATTTGATGAATAATTAACGAACAACTTATTTTTTCTTTCTGAAAACAGAGAACTTTCCCATTTATTGATCTAATTCATAAGATGTTTCTTTTGATTATTTTATTGTAACGAATAGTGTATAATAAATGGGCCTCTCAGTATTTTGCGAGAAATATTCCTTATGAAATTCTCTACAAAATATATATTTTTTTATTATCTTAAATAATTTTCATTAATTTATAACATGCGATGCAATTGATTAGTTCAGCATGTTTTAATTCTTGCATCATTGCTGCTTTGCATATCACTCTATTTCAGTCGATAATCTTCACGAATTCATCCCAAATACATTAATCTGATGGATTAAGATTAGGATTATTTGGTAGCCAATGATCATCGTCGATAAAAAATCAAAAACTGTCTCGACATCATTGATGTGTTAAGCTATGAACCTAAAGTTCTGATCTTAATCTATTAGATTACTATATTTGGGTGGTGTGGGTGTGGGTGTTGAAGCTACATAAAAAAGACACTCACATTCACCCGCACTCTCAACATTTTTCATATATTCATATTTGTTCAACATTGTGAAAAATATACCTTCCATCCATTATGACACAATAAAAAAGAAATAACTACTTCATTTAACTCGATTACTTTTCTTTTTGAGTGAGACTTACTTTTTTCTTTTCTTCAAACAGAAACAAAAGCTAATATTTATTTCTTATCAAAAACGACTTTCTTTTTTTTCTGCTATGCCGTTATGAAAAAGACAAAGATACGGTTTCTTTTTCTTTCTTCTGTCGAGCAATGATTAAGCTCATTTACCTTCTATTTTTTCCCCAGTGAGCAGCGGTTATAATGAGCAAACATTTTATTGCTCCTTTCAAAATAAAAAAGAACGAGTGGGTATTTTTGAATAACTTTCAGTAACAACAAGATAAAAAGTCATGATTTTCACCCTTTGAAGTTAAACAGATTTTAACGAGTACAACACTTAGTACAGTATCGAATTATAGTTTTTATATTACGGAGAAAAAGGTTTATGTATCAAGAAAGTGTGGTGATAAAAGACAGTTGGTATCATGAATAAAATACCTACTATTGTGGACGCAACACGCAAACATAACAATGTTGAAGTAGAAAGAAAAAGAATTCGTGCTGTAAGAAATTCAGATGTCCTTATTCAAGTAACTCACGATTCAGAGAAGTCATCAAGCAATAAGTCCTCTTCAAGTCAGTTATGTCAAATACTCTCGATTGATGTCGGATGTGTTGCCACAGGATATTCACATTTGGATCGAGCACCATGTTGTGTAGCCATTGTCAATGATCGATGTGAGATCATCTTCGATCCATTGATCAAACCAGATAAACCTGTTGTCAGTGATCTGCTTCCCTTCGGTAGTGTACGCACAGCTGAGCTTTGGGATGCTCCATCTTTCAACGAAGTAATCGAAAGGGTAACTCATAAATATCAAATACTTAAACTCTATAATGATACCGTTTTTAGGTGCATTCATTTTTTACACCGACTACTTTGATTGTGGGTCAATCGATTATGAGTGATATCGAATGGATGAAACTTAAACAAGGTGTGCATTACAACAGTCTTATTGAACTGGGTGATGAATTTACGACATTTGATCCTAAATATGGCAGTAAAAAGTGAGCAATTAAATATGTTTAGCCAGATTTCATTGCCTATATTGAATTTCCCTTTCGAAGGTACTTTTCCCTAGCTCATGAAGCATATGTACTGTTAAACATTGATCTGAATGCTATGGGAGGTCATGTAGCTAAAAATGATGCAAAAGCAAGTATCAAATTGTACAATGAATATTTAAAAGTAAGACAATATTGAAGTGACTTCGATTAAATTCATTTCTTTTAATTTGCTTTCAAAAGGATAAAGATCAATCGAAGCTTGGACAGGCGCAGAATGCACTTCTTAAAGCACCAACGAAAGTTCCACTATTTCGACAATTTTCTGGTATTTATGAAGGAGTTTGCTTGTCTGCATTCAATCGAGGTTATTGTCGCTGTGGACAACCATTGATTAGTGAATTACACAAACAAACTAATGAAAAAAAGCGTCGAAATTCCAATGATCAAAAAGAAGAAGGATTATCTACATCGATACATAAGAAAATGAAAGTGCTCAATGAAAAAAGTCAATCTTGAACTATAAATCGTAAAAGAATATGAGAATAACTGTATTAATCATGACTCTTCACTCTACAATAATAAAACTAATTTTTTTTATTAACCCTTTCACCATCTTGAGGGTGGATATCATATTTACATTATATCCATCCACACGCTAGCTAGAGTAAAAACGAAAAAGTGAGTCAATTGTGCATAGGGTTTTATATGGTAGGAATGGGGTCGATGTGGATCTTGTATTACCGCATGTCCACAGCAACACCTACCCAGGCCCACACCCACACACACCGTCCCACACCCACATCCACCCACCCTCACCCAAACCCACCCCACACCCACCCACCCTCACCCACCCACCCTCACCTACACCCAGCCTCACACCCACACCCTCAAGATATATATAGATGTATCTTGTTTGTGATCTTCGGATCATCAGAACAGAGTCTATTGTATTCTAATCTAATTCGTCTGATGAGACCCTTGAGCAAAGTCAAAATCGCGATCACGGAATGCTTCTACATACCCACACCCTCGTCGTTGCTGATGTGAAATCTGGATTCTGGTAGCTGTTCACCCACACCCATAGTATTAAACTGAAAAACTTTGCTTCTAATTTGATTTGAATAATCGTTTGAATTGAATTGCATAAAGATCTATATGGTCTTTGTTCAGTTTGATTTGAATGATTTTCAAATTGAATTTATGTACTGTTAAGCTACCTGAGCAGTCCTTGAAACAGGACGAAACATGTCGTGGCGCTTCATAAAATACACACTCTCAATGTGAAGTATCCTTTTCGTTTACAAAAAAAAGTCCATGAAAGAAACAGCTTATATAATCAGTCCGCGAAAAAAATGGTTTGTATGAGACAGTTCTGTTCTAATGTAAACGACAAAAAAAATCTGTATGAGACCATGGCAACTCACATATAGTGACAAAAAAATTCATTTCCGTAGAGGCAGCAGGCGTATTAGTAAATCTATAAATGCATTTTTCTTTTGTATTATATTTTGATCGCTTCTCTGTATGAAAACGAATACCTATTGTGTTAATCTTACCATGTGTACTCAGTTAAAATAATTAATCAAATAAAAAAATGCTTACATCTATTGATTTTTTACTTTTCTTCTAATGTATATATAGAATCTCTTACTAATCTGTAAAATTAAGATGTTTTTTCTATGCTTTGTTACTGATTTCTTGCAATCTTATCACCGATAGAACAATCATTAGTTGTAAGTATTTCACATTTGTTTTTTGTTCATCAATTAATTCCAGCCGATTAACATGTTTTTCGTTTCATGATCAGCTAAAATACATTTACAGTTTGTCAGAGAATTTCTATAACCATCACTATTTTATATAAAAAAAAATTGGTAGTACTAGTTTGTACTAATATTTACCAATCATAATCGATCTTTCCGATTCTTTTTTGTTTTCTTAAATTCATTGATGAATATGACAAATTTATCTCGTTTGCAGACGAAATGTTTTTCTTTTAAACCTATTATTCATAGATTTGAACAATTTTTTTAGAATTTACATAGCAAAACAACATACTTCATTAAATGAATTCCTCTGACACATTTTATTTTCAAAGACGATACCAATCGATGAATCGACAATGTATTTACTTATTAATTGCATCAATATTTCTACTAATTCTATTATATACTCATACATTTGCTACATTTTCCAAAACATCGATATCAACAGACGTGTATCGATATAATTTTACTTCAAATAATTCAACAAAAGTGATGCCTGTCATTAAAAATAATAATAATAATAATCAAGGATATATGTTTTCTAATAATCCAGGATATACGTTTTCTAATGATCAATATTACAATCGAAGTCGAAATGTGAGATAAAGTTCATATTAATTTCTATTTTAAATTAATATTTTAGCATTCCGAAAATGTCATTGCTTATCTTGTCGCAAGTTATACGGGTGATGCTGTTATAGCTTATAATCCTTATCCAAAATTATATAAAAACATTCTTCTACTTAGTGAACGTCTTAATGATAGTAATACGACAGATTTTATTATTTTTCATACTGGTTATCCAGGTTACTACGATTATATGCCACTTATTGAAAAAACTACTCGTCTAGTTATATTTATTAATATTGATAATATATTTTATAAATTCTCGCCGACCTTGAATCCTTATACTGATCAACCAACATGGACAAAACGTGGTAAATGGAATTATCAGCATATGTGTTACTTTTGGTTTAAACAAGTATTTGAAATGAAAATTATTCAACGATATCGATATATGATGCGACTTGATGATGATTCACAAATTGCAGGTAAATTTTATAGAGAAAAAAGTGAATAATAGTACATTCAATTAAATATGATTTCATTTTTAGGTCAATGGCCTAATGTATTTGATATGATGTCTGAACGACAAGCTATCTATATGGCAAATTATAGAACAGTTGATTATGAATATGTTCTTCCTGGTTTAACACGTGTACGTAATCTTACCGTTAATTATATAGCTAAAAATAAAATAAAAATTCAAAATCCTGCAATGTATGCTGATCTTCTCAATAATTCACTTGAAATACCAAATTATTGGAATAATTTTGAAATTATTGAAATTTCATTGATGCGACGAAATGATGTTATGGACTTTATTCGTGCTGTTGATGAATCGAATGGTATATTTCTCTATCGATGGGGTGATGCATCTCTTCGATATATAACTTTAGCACTTTTTGTTAATGAAAGTCAAATTTTACATCGAATTAAACTAGACCTTGGATATTGTCATCCATGTTAAACAGAATTTTACTTTAAATATATTCAGTCGTCAACGATTTTTTTTTCTTTTCTGCATATGCATATTCAATCTATCAAAGTGAAATAAAACGAGCATATATCTCAAAGCATAACAAACAGAAAAGAAAAGAAAAGAAAAAAGCCTTTAAGGTAACGTTTTTATTTTGTATTTGTATAGCATCTGTTATTAAAGACATTCGTCCTCGACAATTTTCGTACTATATTTTTTCAAGTTACTATCATTATGTTCATGATTATTATCTTCCTCGTCATCATTTATATAAGTTATCGAGTATATCAATATTTATATCCAACACCAGATATTAATCCAATTGGAAAATAGGGTGTGGGTGTGGTTGAGGTTCTGCTGGTTTTTTCCTCTGATCCTCCTTTGATCTATAGATTTATGTATGCATATTTAAAAGATTGTTCCTTTTCTTTTTTCTTTCAATAAAGATGATTTCTATTTCGATTAAAATAAACTAAAATACTTCCAAAATCGAAAAAGAAAAAAAATTGTACATGAAAAATATGTGACATTGGAAGTTTTTAACTAAATGGTTCAAATACCCTCACTTGATATTCATCTTCTCTTCGTATTTTATGTCGATTATTCCTTCGTCCTCGATATCGTCTGTTTTTTTGTACTTCATCCTTCATATAATTCAATACTTTTCGTAAATATTTTCGCGAGATAATAAGTGGTTTGTTTGCGTCTTCTTTGATATTTATTTTTAATGGATATTGTTGGTTAAACCAGGGTTTATTCAGATTTGATTCACTCAAATATTGAATATCAATCAGAAATAAAGGTATAATTTCAGATACATGTGATAAAACTAATATATTTCCATGAGAACTTTCAATTGAGCCAGCTTCATTACGTTTCGGTAAAGCTGCACATACTAAAAGTGTATTAGTAGTATTCGTATAGGATAAAGAATAATCAGCAGTTTCACTACAATAAATTCCTGAACCATATGAACTACCATTTTGTGTAGCAATAATAGGTGCTTTACTATTAGTTGGATGTGGTTGATTTGGTATTAGAAAACCATATCGAAGAATACTTTTGATATTAGTTAATTTTGTTCCATGATAAACTAAATGTGGATAAAATGAAGTATTTTCATTAAATCGTTTCATAAAATCATTTTGAATAGATTTATTGATTGGTGCAAGACGAATATTAATAATTTCAATATTCGTTTGATGTTTCAAAGAAGATTTGATTTGTTGATGATTTGTTCGATAGAAATGACGACGAAAAGTCGTGAAATCATGTGGACGTACAGTTTGCACTGATACATTGGGTTGAACACAATCTGATTTTGTTTGAAATTGTTTATCACATTCGAAACCTTTTATTATGTTTTTGGCTTGTTTTGATGGATAACGAGTATAACGAAATATTTTTTGTTCAACTTCTACTGTTCTTTTGTTATCAATATTATCAATTTTAATTAATGGATGTTGTGATTTGGAAGTTTTTCTTGAGAATCGATATGAAGGTATTCTCATTTTATGTTTGTTTTGTTTTTTGGCTTTTGAACATTGACGAATTTCAAATAAATAAATTTGATATTCAATTTCGAGATCATCTTGACTTGAATTATAATCAAAACCATCATAAAAATTATCTGACGCCATATTTCGACTATATTTCAAAAAGAAAATTATTCTATTCTAATTAATCATAATAAAATGATTTCAAACTTCACTATAAATAATGAAAAAATTATGTAAGAACAGAAAAACTTATGAAAAATAGAACACATTACTTCAATGACTCATTTTACAGACATAGCGTCATATATGATACAAATGAATTGCGAAATTACAAAAATATTTTTCTATAGTTAGCTATTAGAACGAAAATGTTTTAGCAAAATCTTGAGGATGTAGATGAGGAAGAAAGCTATCCATTATTCATCTACATTCATAAATTCTAATCATAAAATCATCATCATATGCGGTTTTCTACAAGAAATTATATAGATGTCGCAGATTTT